ATTATGAAATTAAATCGTTAACATTAAATTCACACACACATTAAACATGGCACAATACCCATATACCAGTTTTATATTCAAGTCCTATGTACAATGCTATAGATCAGAGGTTCCCAAACTTTTTTATCATGCAGACCACGTGACAATTTTTTCAATTTTGTGAGAAACTATAAAAAACCCTTTTTTCAATCACACACTCATAGCTCCGTATTAGAGAAACCCTGTATTGCGGATGCCATGGACACACACATCGACAACCACAAATTACACCCAAACTTATGAGAGAAATAGACGTAGATCATACAATGTCTCCCGGTCCGGGAATCGAACCCGGGACCTATGTGTGGCAGTCCAGCATGGTAACCGTAACATGGGTTACGGAGGCAGTTGTTACGTTATTTGTAATAATATATTGTTTATATTATGTTACGTTTTAATAAGAAAGCATTATGTACGGTTCTAGTCACGACTTGCGTAAATAGGCACTCTCGTCTCATGCACCCCCTATTTCTTTTCGCTGACGTGTACCCTTGTGGATTGAAGTTCTGGATTCCGGAGTGCATGTTTTTAAGAACCGGAATTTCGGTACTAGTCTTCAACGTGACCGGGACTTCCCGATTCTTTCGGTACTTCCGGCACTAGCTAGTTGTTGTTCAATATTGACACAATCAATAAAGTAGCAAGCAATAGCACTTGACGGGTTAAGATATAAAAACGGCCAATATTTGACCATATCTTTTGAAAAAAAAACAAAAAAACTTTCTAATGTTACATTAGAAATACTAATAAATTTAACTTTTCAATTGTAAAGGTAAAAAAAATCACAGAATAAACGTGCCTTCAGCGCGTAAATAAAACCGAAATTACGCTATCGACGCTGATTCCCGAAAGTATCGAAATAACAAAACAATTTGGAAATCCCGGTTCTTTCATTACAATCAAAGAGCCGGGAATTCCTGGTATTTTAGAGACCGGGACAACCCGATTCTGAACTCTAATTGGAGTATGGAGTGAACCCCTGTTTGTCGATATAGACAACTTTGGGAATCATCGCTATAGATAATGTAATATAATATACTCGAGTACACTGTCCAGTTCAAAATAAAGGCCAGGCATTCTACCAGTGACCTCAATTCTAGTCCCGTATTGAAATGTGCGCATCGACATCTGTGCACGCGAATAGGGCTTGCAGCTTACCATGCGCAGATGATTCCTCTGCAGGAGTTTAGCTCGGACGTTTTATTATGACACTACACTCGAGTGACGTGTCACTTAGTCATTTTTAATAATGGAGTTGATAAAGATTAAATCATTGAATTCGAAATGTTTGACGCATTTAAATATCTCTTGACATTAAATGTTAATTTAAAAAATATTAAAGCGTCGTTCCATCGTTGATTCTTGAAATTCAAGATTGTGCTATTGCTGAACGTATAATTTGAATCTTACACGTCAATAGAACCGGCGTTAAAATATTGTGATAAAAAATTAAAAGATATCTTCTTAACTCAAAATGTAATGAACTTTATTTCAAGGGAAGTTGTCGTTTCGTTATTCATCGATTCTGAAAAATAAATACACTTTTTGAGTTAATACATTATTATATTAACAGTGCGACGTGTGGGTGCGATAACTTGACGTAAGCGAATTATTTACATCAGAATACGAAACCGAACTATGTAAATATGTTTTGTCAAAATTGTAACGCCCACACGTCCATTCGCACGAAATGGGACTATATGACCCACTGTTCTAAAATCGTTTTAAAAATAAATATACCTGCTAGTCAGTTCGTGGTTTCCGACTTAACACCTCTTTTCTCCGAATTTCAATGGTTCAACAACATACTTTTCACGTGTTAGTTAAATAAACTAAACTTTACAACGGTGTTAAGAAAATTCTATTACACATGTTAAATTAATGTAAACCATAAAATTAAGGCGAGTCAACGGAGGAGAAGCGGGAAAAACTGTTTTGCTAGATCAAATGGTTTAGGTATTTAGTTTTAAATAACGGTCTTACAAAAAATATACGATACACCTAAGGATATTGTCTAAAGAATGTGCTAATATGTTACACGATAGGATGTGCTTTATCCGATCATATAAAATCCTGAAAACAGCCTAAAATAAAAGTCTAAAACGAGTTATTTAAATTAATTTACGTAATTTTTTATCTATTGATCTTTAAGTGGGTACTATGCGAGCCTGCAAAATTTTACTTTTTAACGGAAGCCCTACTGTTATTAAATTCACATTAATACCAAAATTTGAAACGACGTTTAAAGACACGCCGCGCCGCCCGATGTCCCGTCATACACCATCGGGCGCTTATCGACGTCGAATCTGTAGTGCGATTCACATAATCAAACCGTTGCGATATCGTAGCGATTTATTCGTTGAACTGCTTTTTCGTATTCACGTCTGACAGTCGAACTTCAACGAATCCAATTTTAAAGTCGTTCGATCCAAATGTCGTTAAAGCGTATTCTGGTATATGAATAGAACTTTAATTGATTCTAAATGACAAGTCCTACGTATTCTGCTAAAGTTTTGCCAGTTTTTTCAATAGACTTTCGACGACTAAACGTCAAATTTCACAAGATGTCGTTCATTAGTCGTTACGTTTCGATTCTATTCATATCAAAGTTCGTTGAAGTGATACGTGAATACTAATTTTGGATAGGACTTCGATCGAACAACTACGTAACTTCAACGATATTTTGATAGCTTGAACTTACGTGAATCGCACTACTGTATCACGTTTTCTTTGCATGTTCTTATTTTATTGATTACGGAACGCAAGAGACGACTTCCTAAAATCTAGGTTCGCGTTTAAATACCTTAAACCAAAGAGTACGCTTCACCGCGAAAGATAGTTATATTTTGACAGCGTAGCGCCCACTTGTTGATGCTAAATTTAGGTACACCGTTGAAAAAACCACGTTGCCCTTGAGTTTTTTTGCCTCGTACACAACAGAGCGTTATTTTTGTGCATTTTGGGTTTGACTGTTCAGTTACTATGGTCGGATGTTTAATTAGAGATGACAAACTAGCAGCTATCAATGTCACTTTGAAAATAATGTTGCCCAAGAGATATTTTCATATAGAATATACAGGGTTAATTGTAAAATACTAACAGCCTCATAGAACCATTATTATTCTTCTTCTTCTTCTGTGGGTGCCATCTACTACCGGAGGTCGGCTATTATTATGGCAATTTGCGGCTTGGAACAGTGCTGTGGTACTCATGTGAATCCACTCTGCAATATTTTAAAGCCACGTGCTTTTCCTACGACCACGTCTTCTGCAGTCCTGGATTTTTCTCTGCAGAATGAGTTGCAGTAGTAAGACATTTTAATAACGTCATCATAAACAACTTTTGTTTCACGACTTTTTGCAAAACGTGATAAATTAAGTTTTTGTTGTATTACCTCGCACCCCTCTTGGAAGAATGGCTTAAGTGAAATTACGTCAAACATGTTTATTGTTCCATTAGATACAGAAAAAATTAAGGAGAGGGAATGTGGGTTATATTTTTCTGTATCTAACCTCCAATTGAAGAGAAAGTGGTTTATATTTTTCTGTATGTAATGGAGCAATAAACATACATGATGTAATTCCACTTATGACATTCTTCCGTGAGGGGTGCGACTGATACTTTTTAGATCTACATTTGGTAGTAAGATCAAATGTGCAAAAGTAAGCGTCCTTCAGACGATTTCGTTTGTTACCGTACAAAATTATCACCGTGAAGTGCGAACTATTTAAATATTTTTAATTTGGTATCAAAGTAAAATTTGATGAATTATTAAAATTCATGGAACAAAACAAACAAACGAACAAAGTTGTTTGTTGTTTATGACGTTAGTAATATAGGTCCTTTGAGGTTTTTAGTAATTTACAAATAACCCTGATGGAGCTTAATATGTTGCCATCTGTACCTTGATCACCTACTGAGTAAGTAAAATGAATCCTTTAATGCAAAATAATTTTTAATTCATCAAAAACTAGCAATCCACTAAGCACCAGTTTATTATCCCTTATCAAATATCTCATTATACATATTATTATCAATGTATTGTAGTAAAAATAATGTTGAAATTAATGCTCTGGTAATACCGTATATTTTTTTTAAAAGTAAGTATCTGTTGAGTTGCCTTGTCATGTTGATGGTATCATGAATGGCGTGTTGGTGATCTAGTGTCATTGTTATAGTTTATTCACGTCATGTATTCGTACATACTGTATCTACACCATTAAAATAATACAATTTTATGAAGAGTTTTCTTCGTTAGTTTTTAACAGGGATCGGTATATTTACCAAAACTTCGAGGACATAATACATATTTATTTACAAAACTTATATTTGCAAAATATAAGTTTTACACCCGTGACAATGGGACCTGCAAAGGGTCCGAAACGTTGCTTTGTTTGAAATATTTTATTAGATCCGATACCGTAGTGTCATTTGTTATGTCGATACACTATGCCAATTACATTTTTTGGTCCTGTTCTGTTTTTATTGTTTTGTGTCTTTATTGTTTTATCACAAAATTCGTTTTTTTTTTGTTTTTCGTCCGAATTTTGTTTTTTGTTCCTTTTTTTTTCACAAAATTCGGGGAGCATAAAATTGGTAAATAAATATAGCTGGTTTACAAGTATAACAGAAAATGACCAAAAAATAAATTTGGCGTAGTGTTAATTGGAGGTATCGCGAAAACCTAAGAACTCGAATTATATTTACAAAATTTAAATTTTTATTTACCAAAAAACTTGTCTTCTAAATACACTTCCGTAGTAAAGTAATTGCTAGTTACTACATTTAAAGAAAACATCCTACTATGATTACGAGATTTCAGAGGGAGGTATTATCCTCTCTATGTGTATTACGTCCTTGAAGTAAATATACACTGCCTATTTATACTAGACGCATCACTTTCTCTTACATAAAATATCGCTTTCCTATTGATAATCTAATAATATAATGTTGTTTTCCAGCTATTCGGCTTAGCGGTGGTCGGCGTCGGCGTGGCAGTATTGATGAACTGGACGCTCATCACCCAGGAGCTGCAGCGCCAGGGCCATCTGGCGGTCGCACCATGGGTCTTCATTATCGTCGGCGCCATCATGTTCGTCATCGCCTTCTTTGGCTGCTGCGGAGCTATTAGGGAGAGCCACTGCATGGTCGTCACGGTAAGAATCTGAAAATATTTATTATATTACGTAATAAACAATGACACTTGTTACCTTGTAGGTAGTGTTGGGTCATGGAAAAATTTCCATTTTGAAAAAATCATATTTTTCAGAAAAATTAACATTTTCCGATTATTTTTCCAATATTTTTCCTTTAATTTTCCACATTTGACGTTGACACCTGTGAAAAGTTGAAGTTACTGAACTGAAATTTTTCCAATTTTTCGGGATGTTTTTCGGAAAAATTTTCAGTATTTGAATTTTTTCGGGAAATTGCCCCTTTTCCGTTTTTGTTATTTAAGATGCGACAATAGCGGTATCTCGCGCTTTATATCGCTCTCGCGCAAGTCGTGTCTATCGTACTAGCCCTACAGGAAAGCTTGGATAACACAGAACTCTATGTTGTTTAAATTAGATAGGATTTCATTATTCATAAAAGTTCCCAAATACGAATAGGCGTATTGTCATGGAATGCATTAGTATTATAATTGTGGCACTTCACATGGCTGTCTGTATTCGTTATTGGGTATTTGTTGTACTTCAAAATATATTCCACATATAGACAATCGTGCAGGCACCAACAAATATGACCATTTACACATGGAGCCAAAAAAGGAATTAAAATAATGAAATGACTATTGTGCGGTCTTGCGTATTTGCTTATTTGACTCTTTTCAATGTGCGTCGAGAAGCCGACCAGCGCGCTGTAACGCGTGTTTTGTGTTTGCTGTCCTTATTTCTCGAATAGGCAAACACGGCAAATACTTTGTCTTACATGCTATCTACACATGGCGATTGTTTGCCAAATATATCAAATACGCAAATACAAATAGACGTGTGCAATGCCACTATAACAATATTGTCAGTGGCATACAAGAATGGAGGTCGTTAGCGATGCGAGAGCGTGATCAATTTCAATGTAATTCTTAAACCTTCAAGTAAGGTCGCTCCGTCGTCGTGAATGAGGAAGGAAGATGCGAAAACGTATTTATTTAGTTTACTTTGTTCCTTACTTTGTCACCGACTTCCCTATGCCTGAATTTTACTTACATTCTACAATGCACGTCATACCATTGTCCGTGCTAATTAAAATCTCTATGTAAATTGTGTGCCCTGGAGAGCGGCTCACGATGAAATTTAACGGTCTCGGGGGTCCAACGGATTGCACTGTGGACGCTAGATAAAGAGGTTCCGGGTTCGAATCCCGGTAAAATCAATTTGGAAAATTAACTGTTTTAAATTTTTTTTTTTTCTTAACACAAGGAAAATACACTTATATTATAATGGACTAACAATATTAAATGTTGTATCCTTATAGACAACTAAACCTGTATGACAGCTCACAAGGCCATCACCCTTTCAGCGTAGTCTTAAGTAAAGCCAATAATATTAAAAGAAAAAACTAATATTGAGCAATAAAAATTGTAAATACTATCTTAATGCTAAAAATACGTGTGCGAAATGCGAAAGTTTGAGTGTATAGGTGTGTACATAGTTTCTAGTCTGGTAATCTGGGTAGTGCCCCGAAGTTAAATTTGTTGCACTGGTACTTATAAAACAGGGATTCCCTGGTTTAAGACCAGGTAATGTGTGTGGTTGCCTGGCATAGTTATTGTTATTAATTTTTTCTACCCTTAAGTAAAAGATATTACATATATAATCATATTAATTATAGGTCGAACATTTGTGAATTTTCTTTGATATTAGAATACTATGGAAGATAACATATATCTAACTTCATATATACCCAATGATAACCAAAGTTTAACGTATTAACGTTAAGAATACGACATTAAAAACGATGATAAATGTGTAGAGCCTTAAAAATCCCCAAATGAACAACTGAATGTTCTAATGGCAAGTACATGTATTCTAAATCACTCGGCAGCAATTTTTTTAACAACTAAACAAACACAAAACCGTTCGACGCCATCTAGCGGCATCTCACCAAAACTACGTGCATTAATAAGTTAAATAAGTCTTGAAAATAATTTTTAACATAATTAAAGTCAATCGTGATTACCATGAATAATTAATTATATTTATCATAATTAAATTATTTTTGCGTTTTCTTTTTTATTTTATTTTACGCGGTACAACCACAGATAACAGACTACAAATAATACTTAGAACTACTACACGTAACATTATAAAAATGATACCCAATTGTAATTGTACACAACATTGGTATTTGGCAAATATAATAATAAAAGGAAAAACTTTAAACAAAATAAGAACGTATTTTTTTAGTGTACTGTGTTGTTTTGAAGCACTTAATACTACGGGAAAAAATGGTCCACTGTCTGAAACATTATTTTTTGTGAGAGGTCAACTAAACAACTGTGAACTACGTATAGATCTAGTAGGTACCCTAAAATACAGGTGTTCGATCAACTGAGAATCCAGGGTAGGATTAACAATTTTATGCAAAATACATAGAAATGACACTTGCCTTCTTGTTACTGTTATGTGCAGAATTTTACATTGTATTTTTAGCGTACCTAATTAAGCTATCGTGTTTGCAATCGAGCACTTTATTCCACGATTAATTTTGTAGGTAGATGTGTCAGTCATTATGAGATCTCGACAAACGATTTGCAGAACAATAGCGACTCATGCCGTAGCACGGAAAACAATCCGCTCATAACATTCCGATTGTTGTACAAACGAAATCTTTTGCTTATTCACCATTTTTTTTCCTTTGTTTTCTGTTTTTTTTAAGTTCACAGTCAACTAAATGTGATGTCAATGACAAAAATCAAGAAAAATATCCATGATTTTCGGTTTCAAGTTTATGTATATTTAAATAGATCAGAATAATTCCACACAGTGACAGAATATTGCTGTGTGGAATTAATATAACGGAATATTGTATATGTAATTAAATTCCACAAAAAACCATTAGCCAAACGACGATCTCCGTGATCGAGTGGCTTGCACGCTGGTTTTTCATGGTGTAACAATTTCTGAGGTCCCGGCCAGGTCAATGTAGAAAACTAACTTTTCTATATCGTCTCGTGTCTGGGTGTTCGTGGTACCCTAGTTCTGTCCGATCTCCATAACACAAGTGCTTTAGTTACGTGCTTTGGGACCAGAGCAACGTATGTGACGTTGTTTAATAGTTATTTATCGAGTTCGCGATTGTCACACATAGGAAATGGAACTATTATTCCGAATTTAACACCGTGTATTTATTTTTTCAAACAAACCCATAATAACCCCGTAAAATTTATTTATTTATGTAAAGGCAACCGTAAACATTTTGCTTGTAATGCTAAATATTAACTGTATTTAATAGGAGATTCCATGCTTTTATTAACTGGTCATGATTAATGTCTTATTCTCAGTTATTTTTAAGAACTGCAGTCGCCATTTAGTCGCGTTAGTGTGAACCGCTTGAAAATCTTTCATTGACTTAATTGAATATTTATCATTGGCTAATCTAGACTCTTGATTTGAGCTCATTGCGTAATACAGTTGCAAAACAAGATGGATAATTTCGCACGTTTAAAATGATTTGTTACATTAGCGCAATGCAAAAAGATGGTATTGACAATTGACATCATATTGTTATAGAAAAACGCAAGAAATAGTCAAAATGCCTGTAAGGAAGTCTTATCTTAATGCTAAATTTTTGCCAACAAGAAATATAACTGAAAATCGATTCTAATAATATAGGTGCTAACTATAATATGAGAGTAATTCCAAAACCTCACAAAATATTTGAATAACATTACTTCAGAGTCCTCTGGACTGGACACAAACCAGCATCTGTTGCCACACCGTGGCTAAAACTCTTACCAACGGAGTTACACATCGAGTCAGCAGATCTTTCTAATTTCTCTATGTTAGTAAAAACACCATGATATTCAATAAAATAATAATGCCGAAGTCTTGAGCTCAGTCTTACTTATCTAACTATTAATTTTGCAGCTTTTTCTGGTAGAATATAAGTACTAACAAAGTTCATAGAAACATTCTTATGGATTTCAGTTGCCTGCTAGTAACAATTATTAGTATTATTATTAATTGACTTCAGCTTATTGCCTGTAATAAGAGGGAATATAAATGAACACGACTTCAGAAATCACCGGCAATTTTCGTATACGCGCGAACTTCTTCGAGAGTGAATCACTCTTGTCTATTTCAAATCGGGCAATGATGCCGCAATATTAGCATATTTTTTTGGTTAAACGTGTTCGTAATCTCTTGTTTGACCTTGCCAAATACCGACTATTATTGTATTTCTTTTCCGAGTGTAATATAGTAGTTGTAAGTCAATAAGTTATATAATCAAGATAAATATAAAAGACTAAACTAAATCTAGTACATAGAATTGGAGAAATCTCTTTATGTTCAGATTCTGTACATTAGCAACATCGCAGGAATACGTTACTAACATAATAAACAACAACTTTTGTTCATGGGCTTTTTAGAAAACTTAATAAATTTACCAAAACTAAACTTTTAAATTTTTGTTATATTGTCTTACACGTTAATCCATAAAAATAATTTTGGTGATGTGTTATGTGGTGTAACGTCACAGAATAAAACTTGTTGCTTTTGATGTTAGTAAAATAAGCCTACGAACTTGTTAATGTTTTACAAAATAGTTTTAATATGCTAAATCGCTGCTACATGCGGCTCTTTGGTCTCTAGAGCGTGACTTTTCCACAAAATACCGAAGTATGCATAAAAATATAAAGAGAAAATATTTTCTGTATTTTTCCTTATATACTTTGATTTTTAGGTTTCTTTACATATATTTTTCTTTTCAACAACATATTTTACTGCAGGTTGATGATACCTGGTGACCTAAGTCATAGGGTATCCTAGTTTAGGCTCAACAGACTCCACAAATTAAATTGTACATTTAATAAGGTTCATTGTTCTATTCTGCTGTTTTTGTGGAGGAAATAAATAAAGAAGTTTATTATTATGTTCTTCTTTCTCAGCCTGTTGGCTGGTTCGACCACACTTTCGGACCGAAATCAATAAAATGCATCGTATTTTGGACATTTAATTATGATTTATAATCATAATAACGCACACACTCAATATAGCCCCGCACTAGGGAAATCCTGTGTCGCAGGTGCCATGGACACACATATAGACAACCACAAATTACAACCAAACTTACGAGAGAAATAAATGTAGGCCACATAAATATTTCTCCCGGCCCGGGAATCCAACCAGGGACCCCTGCGTGGCAGTCCGGCATGGTAACCGTTCGGCCACGGAGGCAGTTAATATTCATATTATTACCTGGCCTAACTTTCCCTCGACCTTGCACTGGCCAGAACGCGTGACGCCTATAAAAGAAATTGCTTTAGTTACAATTCGAGGCACAGACATTGGTCAGTAATCCCAACTTGATAGGAATGGAAATATTATCTACGTAAATTGTTTATTGGAATAATTGACAAACATTCCCATTTCTAAAGTTCATTTCGAAGTTGCATTAAAATAAATATAAATAGAAGAAAGCAACTTTCGTCCCGTCACGCCTTCGAGAGACGTGTTTGACAAACCAATTGATGTATTTCTTACGTGTTAGTCAAATAACGCTTTTAGTCAGGCTAGAAAGTTGGCCTTTGTTCGTTACCTAAGTGACAGTTAGCGCCTTTTGCAAAATTGAATACGAAATTTATTTTATGTTGCAATTGTTTTATTCACTCGACGTTCATTGTATTATCATTTGAAAACGGGAATAAACGCGTTTGAACAATTTAATACCTACTATTTAGCAAAACAGTTTTTACCGCTTCTCCTCCGGTAACTCGACGGTGTGACGAAAGTACATAAAAGTTTGCTAGCTACAATAGCTGTATCGTTTTGCTGAAGTTAGAGCTAGAGTTGTCATTACTCAAAGTTCACTGACCCATTAAATTCACTCACTCGATAATCTCAGTACAGAGTACTAAAAAAACGACCTCAAAAGTCATTCATCCCCTAGTTTGCTTCCTTTGAGGTGGAATATTTTCTTCAATTAGAACCACAAAAATAGAACCATTACTGAGGTACCCTCTTTTTAACAAAAAAAAAACAAATCATCAAAATCGGTACAAAAATCAGTTACATACATAAAAAAAACAGTTCAATTGCGAACCTCCTCCTTTTTTTGAAGTTGGTTAAAAATATTTTAGGGTTATATACGCTTGTGTATAACCCTAAAATCGATGTTTTTAGGTAATTGGACTTCACACCGCTTCCGGCCTGTAATGTCACATAAAATTCGAAACGTAGAGGGAACACTGAACCTCGTGATCATGACCCGTCATGTCACGCGCGTCATGACGCCAATGTCGAGAATAGTCTAACAATCGTGCAAAAAACAGACAATTGACAATACTCATTTTTGTTTCATACAGTACGCTATCTTCTTGCTGGTGATCATCATCGTGCAAGTGGTCCTGGCTGTTCTGATGTTCACCTATGGCGAAACCATCCAGCAGCATTTGGTCACGACCGTGGACAAGATCTTCGACAACTCCCGCAACAGTCCCAGCGACAGTGAGCGACAGGCCGCACAGGTCGTCTTTGTGAACATCGAACAGCAGGTATGACGTTTTTCTAACCGTAGGCGTAGGTGACTTTTAATTTTAAATGTTCTATTTTCAAGTACGTTACACGTTTGTGCAATAACTTTATTAAAGACGGTAAATAAGAAATTACTAACGAGTTTCTATTAAAAACCAAAGTCAAAAGCTGAGGACTTTAAGAGCTCTCATGCCAAAAAAGTTTTGACATTGGCTCCGCCCAAATTTGTGAAACAAATATATGCCTGAAGTTCGCGTGACATGCGACAGGAGATGTTGAATTTTGCGCATTAAAAGTACCAAATTCGTTTTAGCGGAATAACTCTAAAACTAAAGGGATTAAAAAAAATCCGTAGTGACAGTTGTCGATCATGCATAAATATAATTAATTATCTAATTTTTGTCCTAATAACCTGTAGCATTTCGAGGATAAATCGAAAAAATGTGAAAATTAGAGGTCATTTCGTGATTTTTATCTATCGAGGAAACTTTATTGTTTTATGTTTCTGATTATTGTCTATCCTTCAATATATCGTGGAGTTACTCATACAATATTTTATTTGTAACTTTAAAGTGGATATACTCCTCTAAAATCAAATCGAAGATTAGGAATTTTTCCTCTGCTCCCTCTTAATAACTCGAGTATTTACTCGTATTTGTTTGAAAACAAATATGCGCGATTTAAATCCGGAAAAATAGTTTCATTTCGAGTTTTGTATTTTTATTACCGTCCGGGATACATACGTTTTTCATCACATTTGCGAGGAAATAAATATAATATAAATGTGGTTCATAATTTCTTCACAACACAACAACTATGGATTTGGCAATTGGCGCGTTTTTTTTTAATTCTTCCGTAAACATGCATACATCTAAGGTGGATTGTGAAAAAAAATTGGGACATTTTTATATTTTAAAGAATAATATATAAATAATTATTAAATAATTAAAATCAATTATAAGAAATTCTTAATAATAAGTATTAATTATGTAGTATGTGACTGAATTGCAATTAAATTTCTGTTTAGAATAACAAAAGCTAATGTTTTAATTTTGAACTTAGTAACCTCCTTGCTAGGACTTCAAACTGATCTAAGTAAAAAAGATGTCGTGAAAAAAAATCCCCTTACCGACTAATGGATGTAATGAAAAAAAATAAGGCCCGTGGGTTTTATTTGGAGCATTATAGTCAAGTTAGCCACCACGCAATCATACCATTTATCAGCAAGTGTGATGAAAAATATATTACACAAATGTGTTTCAACGTAAAATGCATAGCTGATTATGGTTCCTGTGGAACGTGGTGGATGCATGCAACAGAAGGTAGGCGGTATTTTTCAATGTTTTTTTTTATTACAGTTAGAATGCTGCGGAAAGGGTGGCCCAAGCGACTACGGTAGATTCACCCAAGTCGCGAGTCTGCCCTCCTCGTGCTGCGTGCGAAGTGGCACTAGTACCGCCTCCATAGCCGGACAGTGCACCCTGATCGACGCTAACAAAGAAGGCTGTCGGCAAAAGGTCGCCGAAATCTACCAAACCTGGAATAAGACCATCGCTGCAATCGCTATTGGTGTCGCTTGTATTGAGGTAAAGATTATTTGTTCGATTGAATGGTGGAAGAAAAGAAAAATTTTAACGTTGTATGTCTATTAATATAAATAATAACTTTAGATTCTTTTCGACATTGAAAAAGGCGTATAAATAACTGATTTTTAATGAAAATAAACAGTAAGGGATTTTTTAGTAGCAGTAGAGCTTCTCGTGAAAGAGTTCGTCCAGGGAAGTACTGTCACCTTACCTACTTCTGCCGCCAAGCAGTAATGTGTTTCGGTTTTCAAGGATAAGGGCCCTGGTGAAATTACATGCGCATGGGACTTTTCATCATAAAAAAGCCATTTTAACACGGTACCTATTTTCGGGCTCCCCTTAGTCTGTTTTGCCTCATTGTAAGAAGAAAAGACGATAAGAAAGGATGTTGCAGTAATTTTCAATGTTGATTCAACAGGTATTATTAAATGTAGTACTACCAAAATAAAATGGTATATTAAGAAATATTTCGTGTATGTGCGTTTCCTCTTGTCACTGAACGTTACAATCCATCCGTCCGTCCGTCCGTCCGTCCGTCCGTCCGTCCGTCCGTCCGTCC